GGGGTAGAATAGAGCCCATTCTGTTTTTAAGGCTGTGACCTTTCTGAGGGCTACTTTCTGAGACACCCCTGGATGGGCTCCGACCCCAGCTTCAGATTGAACTGGTTAAGCCCTCTTCTGAGAGTGTGATAAAATGTAGATTTTGATTAAGTATATCCGGAATATTGGTGTGAGCTCCTGGCAGGTCAGCTCAGGGTCATAGTGACCCTGCGCTTAACAGAATGAAACGGTGCTGTCCTCTATTGTATCAATCATGATGTCCTTCTCCATGGACTGGTGTCTCCTGATAACATGTCCAAAGTATTGAGATCAAGTTTCTCCAGTCTCCATTCTAAGGAGGATTCTGGCTGTACTTCTTTCCAAGATCGATTTGTCTGTTCTTCTAGCAGATCATGGTATTTTCAATATTGTTCACCAACCCCATAACCCAAATGTATTAATTCTTCTATGGCCGTAGTTATGTCAATGCAAATTCTCAGTAGGGTGTCAAACAGGAATGATATGAACCCAGTGGAAGTCTTGGTTGGAAGTGTCAGTCTTTTGGTGAGGAGTCTAGCACTAAATAGTCAAGGGACTCTGATTGGGAAAGGGATAGGAAATAGGCTTGGTGACTCGGTGCTGGCTGCCTTTTTTTCCCCTCCACTCTAGCCTACACTTTATGGGCAGTCATCTTGAAAGCATAAACAGATCTGAAGACGTAGGCTGCCCCCTCTGATGGTCTTGGAAAGCAGGAGAGAACCAGGAGCCCAATGCTTGATGGAGCCCTGTGGTTTAATTAATATTATTCTTGAGCAGAAGAGCAATTTATGCTCATTGTCGAAAATGTGGGAAATGCCCAAATGTATACAAAGGGGTGGCGGGAACTCAGACACCGTAATGTAATCTGTCCCACGGAAGCTTAATTGTCGTTAAGTTTTCTTTTTGGGGTACATTTTCTTTTTTAAAAAATTAAACCTTTTATTGGGCGCTCTAACATATAGCATTCCATAGTACAATCACGTCAAGCAGTAGTGTATTTTTGTACATTTTCTGACCCATGGTTTAGCCTGGACTCCATACCGCATGCATGAACACAACTCATTTAGCTCTGCAGCCCATTCCCTGCTAGCAAATGCTCAGCAAACCCCAGAGGTCCTGTTGGGAGCACCGAGGCGGTTGGAGGCGGGCGGTGTAGACGACACCTCCTGACGTTTTGTGCAGCCCAACCGAGTACAGGGT